GGGGGGGGGGGGTTGGTTGGAGTGGACAAGGGAGAGACGGCTGTTCCAGAAGAACGCGTATGGACGTGAACCTGTCATGGCCGATAATATAGCTAAATGTTAATTAATACATCGTGATATATGCAATTGACACTAATTTGATGGCCAAATTGGAATGTCCGACGGTGCGCTAAGGGCAAGCGACGCGAGCGCGCGTAATAATGCAGTGCCTGCAGTGAATGCACCTTGGCCCGAGGCATCGAACCGCCCCGCCGTCGGGAATTGTCGGTTACCTCGAAATCGAAGAGACTTCGACCGGCGCTATCGCATGCACGGCGAGCATTTAATTACAGGCGATCGGACCACTCTCGGAGAGAGAGAGCGCGCGCGCGTGAGAGGGACAGAAAGAAAAAGGAATAGAGAGAAGGTGAGAGAGAGAAAAAGAGAGAGAGAGAGAGAGAAAGAAAGAGAGAGAAAGAGGGATGGAGCAAAGGGAGAGGGAGGGTGCGCCCAAATTCAATACGCCGGGGAAAATAATCGGCGGGAACGCGCCCACCTGTGAATACGACGGCCAGACAACGCACCACCGTCGCTGACTGTAATCGAACGAAGGCACGAAAAGCGTTTTCTTCGTTTCACATTTTATTCATTTGATCGTCGGAGCGAGAGCTTACGGCAATCTAACGGACAATGAAATCGCGGAGTGTTGGGGAGATCTGAATCAATTGCGACAGGGGATGATCGTGAGGTCTCGCGATAATTCGCGACTGCCGCTGCTTTGCACGTCGCACGCACACACAGGGTGCTCGGGAAATGCCAATTGGAGAACTCGTATAAACATGTTTACGAATGGCGAGGTCATCGGGATAATAAATTGAGAAAAGGAGAGTGTGTGTGTGCGTGTGTGTGATATGTGCGCGCATGTGTGAGTGTTAAATGAAGTAATTAATTCTCCGATGAAACTTGCAAACGACTCTCGAATTCCGAAACGTTTCTCGCTGTTGCAAATTTTATACTTTTAGGGTGTCTGATGCAACTTGTATGTTTGTATGTGTGCAGAAATCATTAAACTAAATAAAAAAGTTTTGCACATTCTGCAAAATTTACAAACAACCACGAGAATTATTGCGATATTGGTTAAAAAAAATTAACGCGAATGAGTGCCCGCGATAGAAGGTGGGACGAGTTGCTTATAATGTAGATATATTTAAAAAATGTTATATTAAATGTTACATGAAAATCTGAATATAAATAAAATAAAATGTATATATATTTAAATAAGTGTAAATAAAATAAAATGTACATATATTTAAAAAATGTTATATGAAAATATAAGTGTAATATTTAGTGGATTTATTGCTGCATTAATGTAACAAAAAAATTTATATTATTGTGCGATATAAATTCAGTACAGTATATTTGTTATACAAAATGTAATTTAAAAAATTGTAGAATTTCATATTTATATATATCACGTAGAAAAAATGACGAAATAGAAATACTAAGAGTTATTAAAATGTTATATTACAATTTGTAAATTTTAGTAAACTTATTGCTGCATCAATATAAATAAATAAAATAAATAAATAAATAAATAAAAATTGTCAATATTATACGATTTAAATTTAATGAGTAATACAGTATACTTGCCTTATAAATATAATTATAAATATAACTTAAAAAATTATTAAAGTCTCATCACTGTCTCATGTTAAGATAAAATGAAAAATGAAAAAATCAATGTTGCCAGATATAGATAGATTTACGTAAATTTGGCAGTAACTTTATACTAGTAGACTTATAAAGATTGCATCCCTTATAAGTGGTTCATATGATACTCAAATAGCTCTAAATCAACTCTACTCAAGTATGTCTAAATCTATTGACGATCTCTTGCTGGCTTGGCTAAAAGTCAACATTATGCACCGCCCGCCGTTATCAACAGATTGTCCTGCCAGACTGTAGACTGAGACATTCTGGATGAGACTTTGACTAGCCAGACAGACTCTCGTGATTATCACGACGTAAAACAATCGATGATGGAAACACTACAATTCTTTAATTATATTCGTGAAGCAAATATATCATATTGAGTTAATAATTAAATTTACATCATAAAATAATATTTTGTTTGTTACATTAATGCAGCGCAAATTTTGATTGTTTTTTTATTGTATCTTTTGTACTTCTATTTCGACATTCTATATAATAAATTTGTGTATCATATAAACCACTACAATTGTAGTGTTTCCATCATCGATTGTTTTACGTCGTGATAATCACGAGAGTCTATCTGGCTAATCAAAATCTCGTCCAAGATGTCTCAGTCTACAGTCTGGCAGGACAATCTGTTGACAACGGCGGTGCATAATGTTAACTTTCAGCCAAGCCAGCAAGAGATCGTCAATAGATTCAGACATGTTGGATGAGAGTTGACCTGAAAAGCTTATGCTACTGCATTATATGCACTCATTCGTTAATAACTTTTAATTAACATTTCTATAATTATCGTGGTCATACATTTGTAAAATAATGTTGGACTCCTCATTCAATTTGACGAGTACATCCATACATGAGCGGACTGACACATTGCGTCAGAGATACTCTGTATTATTCTATTTACGTGTAGCTGCGCGCGAGTCCCGTGACGTTCTCAACATGAAAAAATGGAAAGGGCAAATTGCAAGCCAACGGAATAAGACGGCCGAGACAGAGAGAATAGGCGAACGATGGACACACCGGGGGCTTACATTAGCTGAGAGGTGGAATGAAGAGAACGAGGGTTTCGTCGCGAGAGAGAGAGACTCCTGCACCAACTCGCTTACCTCGACAAAGCGACGGCAGAATCCGGAAGGAGTCTCGGTCGTTATGCTGATTAGATCGTGCCGTTTTATTAAGACGGCGGATGTAAACTCAGAGATTCATAGAGCCGTCGCAGAGAGAGAAGTTTGAGGGAGAGGGGAGTTGGGAGAGAAAGAGAGAGAGGGAGAGAGGGTGGTAAAAAGTGATCTGTGAGAAGAGAGCTTCGTGCCGTCTCGTCCCGATCGGGTTTCCAATCGTTTCTCCCATTGTCGCGCCACAAACGGCCATCATCGACCTCCACTCCACCTTGATTCCTGACTTTCACGGAACGTTCGAAGTGAATTCGGGAGATTCGGCGAGATTTTATTATGCGCGTAAATTTAATCTACAGGCCGACCGCGCGCGCGAGCGCGCCCTAGATATTTATTCCGTCGCGTTCCAAGTTTTCTCAGGTTTGCACTCACTTAGGCGCTTGAAATATACTCGGGTTTGCGCGAGTTACTCGACAGCAAAGGAAGAGAAAGAGAGAGAGAGGGATGAGAGTTTTTCGTATATTTACAGCTCTATTACGAATCCGGCGGCTACGTTAGGAACGCGCGTTACTTCTTTAAATTCGAGATTCGCCATGGCAAATCCGTCGAGCGAAGTAACCTCCTCACGGTGGTCGGGAAGGTAGAAGTCGCGCTGAAGCTTTCTTGGCTTTATTGAACATGCAAGCTTGCAGAAGACTCAGCGGTCAATTTGCGCGAGCTCATCTCATAAATCCGACATCGGCGAGTCCGCTGTAGGCAAATAACGTCGTTCGTTATTTAGTGACTTTGGAAGAGCGTCAAATGATCGTTGGCGTCGCATCGCGATGCCTATGTGCGAGAGAAATATTTATCTTTTTACGGGACTTGGCGCTCGACGAGTTTTTCGCTTCCAGCCGGGAGGAGAGTTCAAACAGCGCCGCGACGAACAGTCGAGGACGATTTGCACGTCGCGATCGAATTATAACGTATAAAACGCGCGATATGTTCCGCGAGAGGTTTCACTCCTACCTAAATAAGTGGCTGTGAGACACTTAAGTTGAAATCAGATTATAAGAATGAAGATTGTAAGAACAAAGGGGAAAGAGACGATAGAAGCTTCATTGCAGATTTTAGGTGGATATACATTTGAAACGTAAGACCTGCTCTTTTTAGCTGGACTAGCATTGCTGCATTGAAACTTCGTTCCTTTGTCGTTCAATGTTAGATTATGTACTTGTTTCACTTTAAAAAAGTGTACTTTGGATCAGCCGAAAAGAATAGACGTATGATGTGTAAACACGCGCGTTACTACAAATCACAAACGGAACATTTCGACCAGGGTTAAATGATAACTAGTTAAACAGTTTAAAGTTTAGTTAAAATATTAATTTAGTTAATTAACTAACTAAATTATATAAGTTATAGCTAACTAACTAAATTATATAAGTTAACTTAGTTAATTTACTTAATTTAGTTAATTTTAAATAAATAAACTTTTAACTTAAACTGGTTATTTTTTAATACGTATTAAAACTTTCATTTATCAATTTCTCATGTACAAATTAAAACAATTCAACAAATTAAAATATTAAATATTCAATATTAAAATCATTACAGACTGTAAATTAAAAAAGAAATCAATATAAAATAAGAATATCACATAGGTTACTTAATTTACCATGTAAACTAAGAAAAATTTAAAATATTACCAACAAAATTTTTCTCTCTGAGCGCTGGTGTTTTTTTCTTGTATGAAATTTTGAGCTCACACACTACACACTCGTTGTTTTCTTGTAAAAAAGATCTTTTTATAATCTTACATAAATTAAATCTATGATTAAAAAGTTAATTATTTAGAAAAAATGTTGTTTTGCGTAGTTAACTTTTGTCTTCAATAAGTTAATTCAATTTTAACTTAACTTTTAATTAAATTAGTTTTTGTTTATGTGACTTTTAATTTAACGAAGTTAATTTTATAAGCTTTTAACTTTAAATTTTAACTTGGTCAAAAAATGTATTAATTTATTCAGTCCTGGCTTCGATTAAATTATGTGGCCATCTACAGCCGAATTTATTCCTGTCATATTTCGCAACATTCCGTAAAATTTTGGGAACAGTGACGCGCACAACACGTCCTTCGAAGTGTTCTCCACGCTGCCGTTCCGCTACTCGAAAATTTACGCAGGAAACAATACATTGTGTACTTACAATGCACCATTCGTCGGAGGATGGACATTCTTTCAGCATTTCTGCAGTGTAATTAATGCACGGTGTAATGCTGCCAACTCCATCGTTGTACTGTCCGCATTTGTAGCATTTAATACCGTGCGCGACACCTGTGACACACATAATATTTGATTACCAACTAAAGTAGTACGAGAAGCACGGCGTTATTATCGGCAACAGTTTGGACACCAAATGGCGAAACTATAAATGGACGATGTGCGGCGAGCGAACGAGCAATAAATCGTAAGATTTCAAAATTCATTTGGGCCAAAGTGAGTGAACCATTAAGGAGACTAGAGGGTCAGATTGCCTGAAAATCGTTGTTTTTTCACAATTTATTATGGCAAACTGAATGAATATGCGAAAGTGTTAGGTGGTTCAATTAAGCTGAATTTTAGGTAGAAAATTTCCATAAGTTTGTCGTTATTGTATGAATCACTGACAAACTCGTGAAAATATTTAATTTTGAAATATTAATTTTTTTACTATAAAAGAATTGAAAATTTAATAATATTCCATTAAGATATTTCTAATTTTGTTAACTTTTACTCAATTTCTATTATAGTGGTTCACACGATAACGACAAACTTACGGAAATTTTCTACCTAAAATTCAGCTTAATTAAACCACCGAGAGTCAAGTTATTATTGCAAAATAACGACCTTGAAAAGAAAAACAAAATATATTTTAACTGCATGTACCATACATTTATATTGAGTATTTGATCATCAAATATTTTTCTTCTCTTTATATATTGTATAAATACACTTCAAAATAACATTTTCGCATATTCATTCAGTTTGTCATAAAAAATTATGAAAAAACAAGCACGATTTTCAGACAATCTGACCCTCCAGTCCCCTTAAAAGCGTCGTCGCTGAATACAGTTGCAGAGTTGAAAAATAACTCGTTACTCATAATTGCTTGGAAATTATCTGTATTTTTATATGTTAATCTTTAAATGAGATTAGATAGCGTTAAAAAAAGATAAGTTACTTGCAAGAATATATTTTATATGATTTTCAACGAAGAAAAATTTGTGTTCTTATTATTGAAAAGTAATTTCCATAAATGGAGAAATATTGGATTAGAATATGATGTTTTAAATGTCCGGAGAAGATATCATTATCATCAAAGTATCAGGTTAATTCATAAGATCGCACTCGCGGATTTTTGTCTAATTAAATCGCATGTTATATCAGGAAGATAGTTCCATACAGTAACTTTTCAAGGTCGTTATTTTGCAGTAATAACTTGACTCTCGGTAGTTTAATTAAGCTGAATATTAGGTAGAAAATTTCCGTAAGTTTGTCGTTATCGTGTGGAACACGATACAGTCATCTATGAATATGCTTTGATAACTGACATTCAGAGCATATTTTATGGTGTAAGTAATAGTGTTTAAAGAGATATAGTTATACTCTGTTGCTGTTTGAAAATAGTGGGCAGTAATGAGTATTTTTGATACATTATGTGCTTTCTTATCCTAATAGAAACTGAACCTTGTCGATGTCTAGCCACGAGATAGTGAACTGGTATCTGACATCACTACTAGTTAATAATGTAACACTCACTTCTCCTAGTGGCTAGATAAATAAGTTAGCTGATAATTAAATAAATGAAATTACAATTATGAGATGAAAAGTCATAAGTAGTTGCTGGCCAGTAATGCCACGCTCAATTCTGGTTCTTTGAAATTTTTATGAAATTAACGTATTTTCAATTTTTATTTGCTACCTAAATTTTTGAAATGATAGTGACGATGTAATAGCTAGATTATATATTTTAGAATAGACTACGTCACCTGCTGTATTATATTTGAAGTGTAATGGCTAGATAACAGCTATATTACAAACCTGATTCAATATTTCAGCGAATAATAAGCCAGTAACGATTTAGTAACGAACTAGAAAATGTTACCTAGCCTGTACTAGCTAGATACTAGCTTTTGACTCAACCCAGCTGGTTACATTTCTACTCAGATACTTCCATAAGAATTGTTAGAATTTGGTTTGGAGGTGTTTTATTTCACCCAACCATATTTACCCGACACTGGTCCTTCCGATTATCATGTTTTGCTCATTACAGAGTTTCCTTGACGATATTAACTTCACTTCTTTAGAAGTACTAAAAAATCGTTTGGAATGTTTCTTTGCCAGGAAAAAATGAGAGGGGAATTATGTAATAATATGAAAGAGAGAGAGAGAGAAAAATTAAAAAAAATTGAAAAAATGCGCTGAACAGAATAGCGCATATATTATTCATTAAAAATTTTTTTAACAAAAATAAAATGCATTTCAATTTTGTTTACAAATCTGCACGAACGTGTGAATCAATCCAGTAATCATATTGCATTTCTTATGAGACTTTATATAATATTCAAATAAAATTATAACATCATTACAATTTAAAACCTAAAAATTCTTGTGATGCAATTGCGTATCGTTACTTATGTATGAAATAATGATTGTTTTATACATGAAATAATGATTATTAATTTGAGTATAATTTAGTTTTAAATGGATAGGGAAACCTGCGGCATAGCATATATTTAAAAACATCATATTCTCTATCCAATATTTTATGCTTTCCACTAATGAAAATTATTTTTTAATAGATTTCTCTTCATTGAATCATACTACAGTATATTCTTGCAGGTAATTTATCTCCGACGCTATGTAATTTCATTTGAAGATCGACATGTCAAAAATAAAGATATTTTCCACTTTGATGTTCTTTGATGACAAACAAGAATGTCCTTTTTCTGTGCAAATATACTGTTAGCACCCACCGAATAACTCTAATTTTTAGGTATCTTTTCTCTCAGTGTCATTTAAATGAGAAATGACCTGTAAAAATGCATCCCTCCAAATTCAATTTGCCGTCGTCGTCGTCGTCGTCGACGAAAACAATTCGCGATCACGGTGACAGCATCGCTCGATTCCGCCAGCCGGCTCCCCGACGTGACATCCGCGTTCGGACTAATTCCCCGGCGCGGGTCGTAGTATTCGAAAATTGATAGGATCCATAAAACGCTTAATCGTGCCTCGTAAACGCCCGGCTGTCGAGAACTCGGACGTTCCTCTTGACGTTCTTTCTTATTCCGCTCGTGCGAGCGATCGCGCTGGCTCGTTTCGCGAACTTAGTCGACTTTCGATGATGCGAGAGTCGCGCGGGAAGTTTTACTGCGCTTTTTCCGCACAGGCGGGGCCGATCGCGGGCTTTTTCGCCGGCGAGTGTAATGTACGTTCATAAAATTGGAGATTTACGAGAGGACGTCGCGCTCACTAAACGCCGTCCGTCCGTCGATTCCAGATGAGACGCTAAACGAAGGTCGTCGAAGATTCGTCTGCTCGACAGCGGATTAAACTCGTTCATGCTCATGATCGGGGCGCGAAAAGGACTGGCGAAATGCGCAAAAACCGGAACGAGTAGTTCACAGCAGGATGAAACCGGTGCGCGTCGTCGAACTTCTCGTCGGATGCGCTCTGCACTGTAATCTCGTGCTAATCCGCCGGATTAATCCGCAAAATTTCTTTACGCATGTCTTAAATACGCCCGACCAATCCTTCGTTGATACATTTACTTTTTGCCGCTTGGCGCACTGCGACTGTAAAGACCTGCACTGAAAGGATTTCTTAACAAGTACCCAAATTTGATAATTGTCATTAAATTATTTAGGCAGATAATGCGGGTCAAACATACGGTGATAATCAGGAAATAATTTAGTTATATAAAATAAATGTGCAGCTCTCAGAAAACCAAGATACAATTGTTTGAATTATACATCATTAAATTAGATTTTACATCATTAAACTAGAATTATACATCATTAACTCTTTCATATTATTATAATTCCCCTCTCATTTCTTTAATATCAAATATTATCTAATATATATATATATATATATATATATATATATATATATATATATATATATATATATATATATATAT